TCAGAGAACTGAAGGTGCTTCCTTTTATCTCTACCTTGAGTATTCTGAGTTCTAATTAAGTTCATTTCAGCCCTTTGATTTGAGAAGTCTTATCAGGAATACTTAACCTGTGCAAATAATACGTGGAGCCAGCCAGCACCAACACTGCATGCTAATTGATCCTCACACGGGATCTCGACACAGCCAAGTTGCCAGGTCACCAGCAAGCTCCTGAGAGGTCAGAGAAAGGCACTCAGCTAAGAGTGAGAGAATCTGGCCTGGGCTTTCCACAACCCAAAGTCCTGGGCCTGGATTGTTGGCAACTGGATGGCTCAGCCACTGGGTCTAACAGGCTCTGGGGGTATGATCAGGAGGAGCTTCCGAGGTTTGTTCCAGTCCCAGATGTCCAACCTGCCCATAGGTCCAGCACAGCTTCACGGGCTATGCTTTGTCCTCCCATAGACCTGGCTTCTTGGAGCATGTCTGTAGGGAGGGGAGAGAGCTGAGCTACAAATGACCAAGGCAAACAACTTTCATAAGAGGCCAGGTGAGAAGGAAAGGACATCAGCCGGGGAATGCTGAGGCCAGGGTTCCAGCTCTTCCCCTGCCAGTAACCAGCTAAGACAAGTTACCTTCCTGTGTGGCCTCAATATTCACACTGGGGCTGCATGAGCTCAGGGATTTGGCCTCGTGCCACATGGAACCCTTGGCTCTCCGACCTGAAGACCAGCAGAGGCTGAGTGGAGTTCTGACCCTTAAACCTCCTTCATCAAAGAAGCTACCATTTCTCTGTTAGCTATTGAAATCCACAAAGGATTTAATTTGTGGGAAATAAAAGATTCTTTAGCTAAAAATTAGTGTAAGCTATTGGGTTAGGTGATGTCTCTGCTTCTTTCCAATTCTAACAATTTCAGTTTTCAAAATCCAGAAGTAGGAGCTGGTTCAATGGCCTGGCTCTGTTCCCAGAGCTATGGAACCCTGAGTATATTACATTTTACTTCTCGGTATTGTGTCTCTGGGGTCAAGTTAGATGATTCCACAGAACACCTGCCTCCCGTGCAACCTCACATTTTCCAGAGATGTTGGCTCAGCTGGTGCAGATGGTGGAAAGTTGGGGACATTCCAAAGAGATGCTCCTTGAAAGTGATCATAACCCAGTGGGCTTAGAACCCACATTTTCAGAGCCATATTCAGGAGCAACAGGAACCTGTGAATACTAATTGCCTGTGGTGCAGAGAAGTGAGCAGATACCGGTGGGGCAATCAGGGAAGACTTCCCAGAAGGAAGGGATAGAGACGGACAGTCAGTGTGGAGTCAGGAGGGAGAAGAGGGCAGCACATCCAGATTACGTTCCACTCTGATGGATTCTCAGGTCTTGGAAAAGATGAGAGTCAAAACGAGGAGGCAGGCTTGGCACACCTGGGTCAGGTAGATTCTCTACTTCCTCAGAGGAGCTGTATCCAAACTCCCCTGAGGTCCAAAGCAGGGCCTAAGAGGCGAGTGTTGCTTTGTTTCTGTATGAATGGGAACATGAAGGGGAAACACATCTAATCCAGGTTCTATCTGTCAGACTAGTTCCTCTTGTCTAATAAGCCTTGAGAGACAAATACACATTGATAAAGGTAAAGAAAGGAGGGAAGGGTATGAAGACATGGCTGGCAAGCCTGGGTGGACAGGAAGCTGGAAGGCCAGGCTCAGACAGCCATGACTGAGTCTGAAGTGTATCCTCCTCCCCTACACGTGCATTGCTTTCCTTCACAGCCCACAGCCAGAGAGGCCAGGAGGATGACTGCAGGGAGCTGTGCTGGGTCCTCTGTATCTGCTCCCCCGCAAACCCCCCACCACCACCAAGACCCCTGTTCAGCCTGTGGGATCCCTCACTGGGCTGTCTGCCCCTAGGTTTCCATTTGGGTTTTGCCAATGAAGAATACCAACAGGAGATGGGGGGAGGAAGGAGAATGAGACTGGGGGCTCATTCCCGGCTCCCCCCCTGCAGGATCCTCAACTAGAGGTCGCAGCTCCTGTCCAGCAGTCCTCTACATTCAACTTGTTCTGCCTCTGGGTTCTGGCCATTACTCTTCTGTTCTGTCCCCTTGGCCCTTCAGATCTAGGAGTGGGAATGACCCCTGTGTTACTAGCCCTGGACACCACATCATTTCCGTGGTTTCTCTGCAATCTCCTTCCCCACTCTTCACATGGTCCCTTTATTAAACTGTCTACAAACTCCCTACTTGCAATGTGACATTTCTTTCCTGCCTGAACCCTATGATTTGAGCAGTCTCTGCTTGGGCCTGGGGCTCCCAGCCCTGGGGGCACAGTATCCAGTCACACTTCCCTCCTGACTCCACCCCCAAGTCCATTCCCCTTCCCATCTCCCCTGGACCTCATTTTCTTTTTTTGAGACAGAGTCTTGCTGTGTCTCACGCTGGAGTTCAGCGACACCATCTTGGCTCACTATAAGCTCCGCCTCCCAGGCTCAAGCGATTCCTTTGCCTCAGCCTCCCAAATAGCTGGGACTACAGGTGCAAGCCACCATGCCCAGCTAATTTGTGTATTTTTAGTACAAAATTAGAGACAGGGTTTAGTATAAAATTTAAAGACAGGGTTTCATCGTGTTGGCCAGGATGGTCTTGATCTCTTGACCTGGTGATCCGCCCACCTCTGCCTTCCAAAGTGCTGGGATTATAGCCGTGAGCCACGGCATCTGGCCTCCTGGACCTCATTTTCAAGATGCAGACTCTCTGCTCTTTGAATTCCGTATCCAGCAACCACTTCTTGGTATGCCTGTCCCTCTCATTACACACAGGCACATTTTGATCACATTAAAGAATAAACACAATGGCAGTGCTTAATACCTGAAAACACAGCCTTTATTCTGAGTTTTCTAGGTGCAGGCTGTTCTGGGCTGAACCAGCTTGATCAAGGAATTAAATAAGGATTAAGCAAGTTGGAAGGCGCCTGCTATCCAGCAATCAGACAAACCTATGCAAAATCATCTTGCTTCTTTTCCTAAAATAAGAATTTAAAAAAGCAATTGGATTTTTTGTTAATTAGAAGATCAGCAAAAACCAGGCCAGTCAGGTAACCACATCCAGGGGGGCAGGGAGGAAAGAAAAAGGAGGTAGGCAGTACACAGAGATCCATTTTAATGGGGGACTCACATGCCTCAGGAGCCTGCCAGGATGACCTTTCACCCTCCAAATCTAGACTGAACCCCTCATTCTCTCTGTGAGCCTTGATGTTAAGCTATTTCCAAGGCTGTTCTCTCTGGTTGGCCTCCCTGTAATTGGGAAGTCAATGTCAAAGGCCAGAATTATTTTCTCTGCCCAAGATACACATTGAATACAAGAAAGCATAGGGTTTGAAATTAACCACCAAACCCTGAAATCAACTCTCAAACCCTCTGTTGAATGTCTGTGTGATCTCAGGCAAACAACCCTGTTTCTCTTGCGCCTCAGTTTTCTTCTCTATGAAATCAGTCTTACATCATGGAATTGTGAAAATAAGGAAAATGACCCAGCTCCATACCTGGCAAACAGTAACTTCATCCATGCTAGTCCCTTTTTTTTTTTTTTTTTTTTTTCTCCTTCAAACCATTCCCTGGACTATGTTTCTCCCCACCTAGATTATTGCAATCACTTCTGCATTAAACATCGATTTTCCCCTCTGTCTATGCATATCCCTTCTGCCATTTTCTGGCAGCAGAATCCCCCAAGTCCTTCAACCCTTCCTTTATGGAGGTGCTCTTCCCAGGCTCCATCTGTTTTTGGTGGGGCTGTGGGTCCCTGTACTCCTGCCACACTCTATCTCCATCCCATCAGACCCTGATGCCAAGCATGGGGCTCGATTAGAGTTCTTCCACAGAATTTTCTCTTTTTTTCTGGGAAATGAATGTAAAGATATGACCCCAAAGTGGCTGACAGCGATACCCCCGGCATGTAGAGAGACCTGAGAACATGACGACAAAGTGGGAAGAGAGTTTTGGGGGACTGAAACCCACACCAATCATTAAGGTCCCCAGAGCCTTCTCTTCAGTTCTATCAGTCCCCTAACTAGTTATCCTTTTGTGCCTGTGATCAGCAGGGTTAGTTTCCATGGCTTACAGCCAAACCTTCTTAACTGACCTCCCAGAATCGTGTTTGGACCCACTCCTATTGTTTCTTCATATTTAAAGCAGAGTAGATTTCTAAGATCACAAATCTAATCATGCTCGTCCCTGCTGCCTTGGCTTCCTACTGTGTTTAGAGTTCAGACCAAAATCTTCAGTACAGCCTTCAAGGCCCTGCAGGGACTCCCCTGCCTTCCCAACCTCTTCTCTCACCAAGACCCTCCCCACCTCCTTGCTCTCTCAAGTCCTAGCTACTTCCGGCTTTGTTCTCACAACTTGGAATGTCTTCCTACTTGCTCTACACCTAGAACACTTCTACTCAGACTTTGCAGGGAAATCTCTGTTCCTCAGGGAAGCCTTCCCTGACCCACTTCCACCCACTTTCCAATTTGGTCAAGCTGCTGTAACAGGCTCGCCTTGCCATATGTGACCTCCTATTGATTTGCGGCATCACTGCATTCACGTCTGTCTCCCTTACCAAACTGTGAGCTTCCAGAGGGCAGGAACCCCACCTGTCCCATTCACTCTAAATCGCCTTTGCTTGGAACAGTGCCTAGCATAGTAGGGCTCTTAAAAGTTTTTTGAATGAATTAATGGGTGACCTACATATAAGACCTAGTCTTGGTTGCTCTTCGTTCATGAAATCTCTCTTTCTGGATGATTTTTTGGGTCGTCTGAGACTACAATGCCTTCTTGCTTACTTCTCTCCATTCCCGTCCCCAACTAATTCATCACATCATTTCTGCCTTCCTTAAACCACCTACTCAACAACCTCCAATGGCTCCCTACTGCCCAGTATACACAATAAACATCCATTCACTGGAGTTCCCCAAATGTATTCCCACTGGACAGCAGCCACAGTAATCCCCTGACATCCCTGCTGCCCCCCACCTGCATTCACACACTCACATACATTCTTCACAGGGTTGGTTGCTTCTGCTATTTCCTCTGCTTGGAGGGTCTCCTCTCTCTTGCATTCCATATCCTATATCTTCTACAAATCTCTGGGCAGAACCACTGCCTCTATAGAGCTCCCTTCATTAAGCTCTCCCCTCTCCCCATGGTGAGTCTCCCATTTCTGAGTTTTTCTCACAGCAATCCATTGATTATATTTAAACTTAGAGCTTTTTTTTTCCAGATATTTCATAATTAGTATAGTTCTTTACAGGTCACTGAGCCTTTTCATACACAAGATCTAATTTGATCCTAAAAACTTTGTAGGGAATTTGGGGCAAGTATTTTAGGGAATAATTCAACTCCCAGGATCAGAAACCCACGGAGTTCACTTAAGTAGAAGGGATTTATTAGAAAGACACTGGGGCAGAGCATGCGTCCTAATATCAGGGAGTGCAGGCTGGTCTCCAAGGACCTAGAAAGGCATCCCGCAGGCTTCCTTCTCTCTTTTTCCTTTCCTTCTCATCTCTGGTTTCTCTTTGCTCTATCTGTTCCATTCTCCTCTCTGCAAACCAGCCTCCTCTGAAAAGCTCCCCATAAATTCAGTGTCAACATAACTTTGAGTTCTTATGGTGCCAACTCTGGCTCCAGCTCTAAAATTATCACTCTGGGTCTCAACATCATCCAAAGTATCAATGTCTCTTCTCAATATCTCGGTGCAAGTTCTCAAGAGAAACGCTGATTGGTTACTAGCCATCCAGTTCAGTGGCTCGTTTAAGCCCCTTGTTCACCCCTGGCACAATGAGCTGTAGAAATAAGTCACATTGCCCATAGCCCATTCAGCAAGGCCTGGAGAGGGCAGGGCAATGAGCTGAACAAGCAAAAGGATAGTGTAGTGTAACGAATTCACATGTGAGTGTTCAAGTCATGACATCTGCGTACAAATCCTGGCTATGGTAATTACTAGCTGATAACCTTGAAAAGCCACTTCACATCTCTAAGCCTTTCCTCATTTTAAAATTAGAATAAAAATAGCATCTTCGGTACAGGATTGTTGTGACACAAAAATGTGACAATCTCTGTAAAGCACTTGACACAATGCCTGGCACATGGTAGTTGCTCAATAAATAAAGCTGCTAACATCTGCTACAGCACATGTTGTTCATGAAGGTGGCCCAGAGTCCTCAATCCCAGCTGGAGCCCATACAGGATCGCTGAAGCAGAATCCTCAGGAGTCCACATTTTGTAAGAGTTTACCCAGGTGTTCCTGGTTCATCTGACCCAGTTCCCTCATTTATAGATGGGAAACTGAGGCCCCAAAGGCAAAGGAACTTACAGCAGGTCACATTGTGAGCTGGTATCTGGGCCTGGGACGCTTAATCCTTGTAGCACAAACTAAAGATGCAGTTCCCAATGGCTGGATCTGAACACGCTCGTGATGGTGGGGCTTGAAGGTCGTCAGGGAGGACAGGGGGTGCCCAGCAGGAGTCGGCCCACACTTCAGAGCATCTGGGTTTGCACCCAGGTGGGCTTCTAACTTGCTTCTGTGGCATCCAGGGAGTTAGGTTTTGTGCCTCAATTTCCTCTTGTGTGATATAGGTTGAGAATATCCATCTCACTGAATTTTGTAAGAATTATATGACTTATGGATGTAACCACAAGATGGCCGATTAGGAGCAGCTCAGGATTGCAGCTCCCAGCGAAAGCGCAGAGGGTGAGTGGATGCCGCATTTCCAGAAGGATTTTTATTGCCCACAGACCAGGAGATTCCCAGGCAGAGGAGCCCCATGGGTTGCCAGCGTGGCTGGTTTCGCCTCTGTGGCTGTTTTGGCTGGCGGGGCTGTTTTCGCCAGTGTGGCTGTTTTGCTGGCACGGGTGTTCTCCATACAAAATACACAGATCCGGGCGCCATTTTAGCTGGCGATTGGAGCTCCTGGGAGGCAGAGTCACCCATTCATCTGATTAAAAAGGGGACTGAAACAGGGAGCCAGGCCAGGAGATTCCTGGGCAAAAAAGTGCCATGAATCTCAGCGCGGCTGTTTCAGCTGGTGTAGTGGGTTGCTGTATGGAAAATCACACAGATCCCGGCGCCTTTTCAACAGGCGACTGGAACACCTGGGAGACATAGTCAACCATTCAACTAAAAAAATTTTTTTAAAAAGGGCTCTGAGGCAGGGAGCCAGGTGATTGAGCTCATCTGCTCCCACCCCCACAAAAAAACAGCAATCAGAAACACTCTGGATTGAGAGTTTCACAGTAAGCACAGCTGAACCTGGGATGGTCCAGCTTTGTGGGGGAGGGGCGTCCACCATTACCAAGGCACTACTCCACCATTACGGAGGTAGTCTGCATTGCTGAGGCAGTCTGCCTTTGCTGAGGCAGTCCGCCATTACAGAGAGAGTCCAGCATTATAGAGGTGGGCCACCATTGCCGAGGCAGTTCTAACTACACCCATGTAAACAGGACTGCGGGGAAGTCCACACAGCAGCTAGGGGGAGCCCACAGCAGCTCAGCAAAGCCTCTGCAGGAAGACAGTGACTAGGCTCCCTCCTCGCTGGGCAGGGCAGCCCTGAAAAAGGCCAGCAGCACAATAGAAACTCATAAATAAAGCCCTAACTTGCCAGGACAGAGCACCTGGGAAAAAAAAAAGTTGGGGGTTGATGAGTTCTGCTACAGGAGGCTTAAACATACCTGCCCGCAGCTCGGAATGAACAACGGAGCTCACAGCTCAGCACTTGAGCTCCTAAAAGGACAGACTGTCTCCTCAAGCAGCTCCCTGACCCCTGTATATCCAAAGAGTCACCTCATAAAGGAGAACTCAGACTGACATTTGGCGAGTATCCTTCTGGGACAAAGATAGCAGAAGAAGAAACTGGCAGCAACCCTTACTGTTCTTCAGCCGCTGCAGGTGATCCCCAGGCAAGCAGGGCCTGGAGTCGACCTCAGCAGTCCTACAGCAGAGGGGCCAGACTGTTAGAAGGAAAATTAAGAAACAGAAATAACTTCATCATCAACAAACGGGACATCCACTCAGAGACCCAATCTGAAAGTCAAGAACTACAAAGACAACACGTGGATAAATCCACAAAGATGGGAAGAAACCAGTGCAAAAAGGATGAAAACACCCAAAACCAGAATGCCTCTCCTCCTACAAGGGATCACAATTCCTCACCAGCGAGGGAACAACTCATTCTCACTCTGGCTGGAGAATGAGTGTGATGAATTGACAGAATCAGGCTTCAGAAGGTGGGTAATAAGAAACTTCTGTGAGCTAAAAGAACATGTTTCTAACCCAATGCAAAGAAACTAAGAACCTTGAAAAAAGATTTGACAAAATGCTAACGAGAAAAAACAACTTAGAGAGGAATACAAGTGAATTGATGGAGCTGAAAAACACAACACGAGAACTTCGCGAAGCATGCACAAGTTTAAACAGCCGAATTGACCAA